TCAACAAGCAAATCCAACGCTATGAGTTCACAGCCGTATATACCCACCCAGAAGCTAAGGTGGACATTATTCTCGTCCACGGCTTGAATGGTGACCCGCAAAGGACATGGACAGCAGCTAACGGCGTCTTCTGGCCTACCGATCTGCTTCCGGAGAGCTTGAAGACAGAGCACGCCAACGTGTTGGTGTACGGATACAACGCCGATGTTTACTCCAGCCGCAATGACCGGAGCGCAAGCAACAACTTCATCCACCATCATGCCCAGACCCTAGTCACCACGCTGACGCACTATCGCAAGAGTGAGGGGACTCTGAAGAACCCCATCATCTGGGTCGCCCATAGTCTGGGAGGCATCCTCACGAAACGGGCGCTACTGTACTCGAACGATGTCCGGACAGAGAACCATGATGACCTTAGATCGGTGTACGTGTCGACGTACGGTATCATCTTCCTTGGTACGCCGCACATGGGATCAGGTCTTGCCACCTGGGGCCACATGCTGCAGTCTATGTCAGAGGCTGTGATACCGAGGAAAATCTTTGAGACGGAGCCGGTGTTAATCAAGACGCTGAAGAAGGACAATGAGACGTTACAGAATATCAACAATCACTTTCTCGACATATATCAGCGGTTCCGGATTCACATGGCTCATGAGAACCATAAGACTGATATCAAGGGATCAAAGTAAGTCGACAGTCAAACCGGCCAATGCGCCGCAGCGCCCATCCCGTTATCCCGTCGTCATGTGTGCTAACACGTTTATCAGAGTCATGATTGTCGATCCTAGTTCGGCCAGTCCTCAGCTACCGGGCGTCACTTACTACGGCATCGAAGCCACCCACTCTGGCATGTGCAAGTTTGACAGTTCCACTGCACCTGGCTTCCGGACAGTGTCGACAGCTATTGCCGACTGGATAAAGGAGGCACCGAGTGTTATCCAGGTACGGTGGCTGGTTGAACTCGATGATCGACAAGTACGCCAACAGCTTGAGATGCACGAGCGACGGCTTAGGCAGCTGGGCAATCAGCCTCCAAACACAGAGACGCAAATGATAATCCACGAAGTTGAGAGCCCGTTAACTCCATTAGGACCGGAAGTGCCACCACTGGCTCTCACTCACGACTCGACTCAATCGGACATAATCGACGTGACGGTGCCACAAACTAAGGATTCACCTCTGTTTATCCACCCCGAGCCATTTCGACCAAACTCCTACTTTGTGGGAAGGGATGATGAGATGAAGCTTCTGCATAAGATGCTTATGGACCGTGGCAAGCGTTCACAAGGCACCTCCGCTGTCCTGATTCAATCCCTTCCTGGCGGGGGCAAGACTCATCTAGCACGGCAGTATGTATTCCAGCACAAGGAGGATTACCCAGGAGGCGTCTACTGGGTCCGGGCCAAGTCGCAGCAGGAAATAGAGTATTGGTACTGGCGGATTGCTAAGAATGAGGCGCTAAGGGGCCTGGTCACTCACGAGGATGTTCATGAACTGCGAGACCCGAAGAAAATTGTGGCCATCGTCCGAAAATGGCTCAACGGTCTCGACAACTGGCTACTGGTCCTTGACGGCGTTCATTTCGATGCCCCAGGACTACAAGAATTTATCCCGGACGCCAAGAACACAAGTCTAATCTTTACATCAACGGAACGTGCCGTCATAGAAGATTATCGCTTCGATAGCCCCCAGGTCATGGAGTTGCCCTTGCTTGCACCTAAGGAGGCTACGGACCTCCTGTTGCTCGAGATGGACAAGAAGAAGCCGTGGACTCAAGATGACCGAAGCAGAGCCCTGGACCTAGTGCTATTGATGGATCGTCTGCCTCTGATGATCCATGTTGCAGCTCAGCAGCTCAAAGCGACGAGAGAGCCGCTTTCGAAGTATCTGAGGTCGTACAAGAACCGAGCACAGGCTGGGGCTCTGCCGGCTTACAAGTCCGTTCGCGACCAATTACAGCACAGAGGAGCTACTGCTGCACTCAACCTCATATCAATCGTTGTCTTTTTCGACCAGCAAGTACCCGTGGAAATGCTCACTCTAGGTATGTCTCTCTCTCCACTCTCGGCAGCGACGTTGAGCCTCCAAGGGTACGCTTGAGAATTGTCTGCTGACCAAAGCTATAGGCATGTCTGCATTGGACAACCGGACGCCACTCAAGACGCCTGATGCGTCTCGCCGTAAGGCTAATCTGACCAACACTCTCAAGGTGCTGATCGCCTTCGCTTTACTCGAGCGGACAGAAATTCAGGATATCTCGCCGACAAGTTCTCGGAGCTCCAAGCAAGGACTTGACAGGGCCGTCGAGTCCCTGGACATCCTCCGAGTCCATAGTGTAGTGCAAGCTTTCTTCATTGATACCCTCAGCGAGGAAAAGCAGGCCCCTTTCTGGCTCGAAAGGGCGGCAGCCGTCTGGTGTCGGTCGTTCGATGAGGCTGATAAAAAGATCAAGGAGCATTCCGGCGTTGGGTTGCCCGACGATTACCGACGGTTTGCCATCCATGGGAGGAGGCTGCTGGAGCACGTCAAGAGGTTCGAGAAGAAGTCGCCAGAGCTGTTAGGTTTAGTGAAGGACAACATCGAGCAACGACTGGACAAGACACAGAGTGAAATCGACCAACTCTCTCGCACACTGCAAACGCATATTGTCGAAGGGTCCCAGGAGATGCCGCCAACATCTGTTTTTGAGCGAACGGGGAGCTCGTCCGAGACAGACTCGATGAGTCCGCCAAGTCACAGCAGCACAAGCACGAGCGGTATCACGTCTGTCCTTCATGATGACGATGAAAGGTCTCAGCTGTATCAATCGCCGACGACGCCCGGGCCGGACTTCGCGCATAATCCTTACCACTTCCATGTCCCGTATCCTCAACAACAGACCATACCAGTACCTCGAGACCCTTCTGACCTTCAGGACGACGCGAGGACTGTAACTACCTCCCCGAACCGTGGTACTGCTAATGAAGTCGGTGATTCCTCTAGACCAGAAAACGGCCACGTCAGGAATGACCGACAGGGTTCCGAATGGGACTTCATCAACCCAAACCTGAACCATAGATCTGTCAGGAAGGTCGAGCATCGTCGCTACCACGATCGTGCGGGTGCTTGGAGGGACACAAGCATCAGCGATCCTCGAGTTAGCATCAGTCGTGAGATCGCCAAGGGCTCCATCACAAACGTCGCCAAGCCGCCTAGAAGCCAGAGTCAGAGCCGCCTCACAGCTGGAAGTGAGGCTGAACTGCAGCTACACAAAATCAGACAATCGATTCCGTCATTGGATGAGACGAAGCTACTCCACGAGAGAAGCTTCAGTCAAGGAAGCCTACCGCGGCCACGATTCCTCATGGGAAGCAACAGTCACGCCGATCCGCTGGCGACCAAGATCCCAGAAGACGAGTACTCGATGTCGCCAGTCGAGTTCTCAAACAGCCTAGCAAAAATAGCTCCCGCGCCATCAAGTTGGACGGCAGCTACCCTCAAGAAGCTCAAAGAGAACCTGAAGCCAGCCGAATACGGCCAGGAGCAAACTGGTACCCCCGTAGACGCCAACCTGTCCGCGGCTCCCGCTCCACTGTTCGCTGGCACACGCAGCGCCGGCTCAAGTCCCGCCAGCCGATCGTCACCCTTTCCTCCGCCTCCAATCGAAATCGAGATCAACACCGCTGCCTCACTCCGCCGCGGCCTGCCACCCACCATCCGGCAGTGGGAAACGCACGCCTATCATCCCACCCTCAGCCGCCTCGATTCATCCTCCCTAGCCTACCAGGAAGCCAATCCGCTCTCATTCTCCTACCCATCTATCCAGAGCCACTCCCTGCCAAACGCCAACGCGCAACCCCTAACTCGCACAGCGCAGCTCCAGCTTACCAGTCCAGGAGGATACACCTCAGAGCCCATGTCCCGCAATCAATCCACTGGTGGAGGCAGCAATCAATCTCACCGCTCAGCACCGGAAACCGCACAACCACAACCGTCTTCTCCAACTTCCGGCCGCGCAAGGAGCAGAAGTGGAAGTGGAAGCGGAATAATCAGCCGCCTCCTACCATTTAATATCCCAGGCCTTCGACAGCGCCGGCCGTCACACACGGAGACAGAACCAAGTCCAAGGCTAGGCGATGCCTTCGGTGAGGTGGAAACGAGCTATTCACGATGGGAGGACCGGCATTCTCAGGCGCTTCAAAGTGAAACGGAGAGCCCAATTGCGGCGGCGCAGTGGAACACCATTCGCGGACAGCGCGGTGGGAGATCGCAGAGCCAGAGTCCTGCGCCGAGGGGACGACGAGGGTCAGGCTTACCAGGAAGGGGGAAGACTGGACGGCAGGGGTTGGGTAGAGGTGTTGGAAGTCCAGAAGTAGGAGCTGGTGGGGAAGCCATGACGCGAAATGCGTCTGGATCGGGATCGGGAAGTGGGAGTGGCGGGTTCATGCTTGCCGATGGACGGGTGGTGGAGTTCGGCGAGCGCAGAGGGAGTGCGGCGATGGAGCGCTCGAAGAGTGAGGAGTCGAGACAGAGTGATGGTCTGGGACTTGGGATTCACCTAGAGTAATGACGGGGTCGGGATATCTGATGGGAGAGCATATTCATCAAGACTCTGCATTTTGGACTACATAGTTTGGGACTGCATGATTTTAGATTACACGTACATTCTGGGTTGGAAAAAGCATATATAGGTACGGTCCTGTGCCGGCATCACATAGAGATGCTGACAATACAAGTCATTCTCAGTCTTATGTTTAGTCTCGTCTCAGGATCCAGTCAAGAGAAATACAAACCAACAAAACAGAAATTGATACACAGGGAAAATAAGAAGACTTCCACTCTGGATTCCGGCCCCCATTCAGTGCTGTCTCTAAAAGCCAGTGCACTACCTAGTCACGCCGGAAGCGTCGACTCACGAATCTGCCTTTACCCATCCACCGCACCTTCCCTCAGAGAGCCCCGACGCCTTCGTTACCTTATTCTCAATCGAGTTAAACAACAAAAAGTTCAACCAGCCAAAAGGCCGAATCGTCAAGTGGTATGATGCTTCCTTCGGGATTACTCCCAGTCAGTATGACTCTCATGGAAGAGGTCCCGGGTTCGAATCCCGGTTCGGTCCTTATGTTTTGCTCCTCATGTTACAGGACTTCAATTTTGGTCCCGATGATAATAGCTGAGAAGATGGAGTTGAAAATCCATTGTGATTCAACCTAAAGGCATATAGCATATGTATGCCTGACCCTCGCGACAACTAGCCTGTATGCTTCTGGGCCATCTGTGTAAATGAACTACCATTCCAGAGCACACATCTGAAGTCTCGATGATATGCGCGTCCGCCATGCCTCTCGCCACTCGCTCGACTCCTGAAGTCCTCGTCTAGAATCCCTACTCCCGATCCAACATAACAACATACTCCCTCTCACTCAACCCAAACTTAACCACATCCCTGTCCCTAAGCTCAAGATACCGACTCTCAGGCACCTTATCCCCATTCAACACCGTCCCATTCGCGCTCTCAAGATCAATCAAATAAGGCTTAACCTTGCCCACCCGATCCCCGAACTCATTCCTCTTCTCCACAAACCGGAACTGCACCACCGCATGCTGCTTGCTAACACTCGGATGCTCAGCCGGCAGATCCACCACCCCTCTATCCCGGCCCACGAGCCAGCAGCTCCGCAGACTCAGCTCGATGGTGTCCACCACGGCCTCCCCCTTGAAGACAAACAGCTTCCACTTGTCTCGGGGAGGCGGCTTGCGCGCCTCGGGCGGCTCGTGGTACTTCAGCGTGACGGTTTCACCGGTACCGACCGTGACCGCGTTAGCGGCAGCCGCTAGGACGCCGGTGGGCTTGAAGTTGGGCTGTTCTTTTTCTGGTTCTGGTTCGAGGCCCGTTGATACCGCGAAGTCGGCGTCTTGGGAGGGGAGCGGGCCGGAGCGCTTAATCACGGCTTTCGCGGAGGGGGAGTCGCGGTGGTGCCGCTCGCGGCGGGAGTCGGAGGTTTGGCGGGCAGAGGCGTAGTCAATTGCTTTTTGGGGGGAGGGGGAGCGGTGGTGGCGGTGTCGGTGTCGGTGTCTGCGAGAGGTGTCCTTCTCTTTGGATGCTTCTCTGTCGTTGTCTTTGCTCCTGCTCCGGTGTTTGTGTCTGTCTCGCGTGCCCTCGCTGTCGCGATCCTTCCTGCGTTCTCGTGATCGCCGGCGGCTCGAATCCGGGGACCGCGACCGGTCGCGCGGTTTTCTCTCCCTGGACCTGGACCTTGGTCTCTCTCTCCGCCTTGGCTTGTCTGCGTCCTCGTCGTCTCTGTGTCTCCTCTTCCGCGATGATGAAACCTCTTCGTCGTCCTCGTGTTTCCTTCGCCGTGACCGGTAGTCGCCGTCTGATGCATCTGAACCCATTTTGACAAGCCCTCTCGTTCCGCGAATTTAATTTGGTATGCCGCTGTATTGGTAGATTGCTTTGCGCTCATGGCAGTTCAGCGCAAAAGTTTGGATGAGGTCACAGATTCAGTGGACAGGGGAGGTGCGATAAGCGATATGCATCTAACCAAAGCTTTATCGGCTATCGGGCGATAAGAGACCGGCGCCGTCACGAAGTTTGGAAATTTTGGCGACAGCTTCAAGCTTTGATATGGAAGCCTTGTACCACCCAACTGACCATGTTACGAGGTGGATTATGGCAGGTAGGTTTTACTGACATTGTACATGCTGTACTCTACTGACGCCTGACAGAATCAGAGCCGGTCCTCGGCCTGCACTGCCTGGCACCGAGCATTCCGACTCCGGCAGGCTCGCCGCTACACAAACGGACCCGGACCGAATAATACCACACCGAAGCCGATCATACCCGGGACATCCTTTGGCGGAGGAGGCTGGGGCGGGATCAAATCAATCCCAGGCGTTGCAGCGCCTCTAATACGAAAGGCGGAGGTCGCCGCCGACGGCCTCCTCCCACACGAGCGAGAAGCGCGACAGCGGGAGCGAGAAGCGCGAGAAGCGGAAGAAGCGCGCCAGCGAGCAGTAAGAGAGGCAGCCGAGGCGAAGCAAAGAGCAGAGCAAGAAGCGAGGGAAGCAAAGGAGCGAGCGGCCAAAGAAGCGGCCGAGGCCTTCTGGGCCAAAGCTGAGGCAGAGGCGGAAGCGCGGAAGCGAGAAGATCCAGCTCGCCAGACTCCGCTGAGACACAGGTCTGAACCCAAGCAGCAGCGCTTCGGCGACAGTGGATTCATACGCCGAGTCGCGGTGCCTGAAACCCCCATCGACCGCCTGCCGCAACAACTGGGTGGAAGATACGAAGGCGAAGAATGGGGCCACATGCGCCGCCGCGAACGGCCGGCCCAGCAAGAGGGCAACTTTAGACGGCTGGACTGGCGGAACGCCGGGGCAGACAACAAATCCAAAACACCAGACTCAGCATGGTCCCAATTCGAAAGCATGCTCTCCAAACCCGACCGCGCCCCTCCACCCCAGGAACGCTCCAACCCCAATCTCACCCAAGAAGAACCCATAAACCCGAACCTCATCCGGCGAGAGTCCGCCCCGCCACAATCGTTCGACCCCCCAGCCCAACCAAGCCGCCGCTGGACAGACCGAACCCCGAACCGTCCCAAGCCCAAACCCCGCCGCTACAACGCGGGCGAGCCCCAAGACGACTTCGACGACGAGTCCTACCAAGAACAGCGCCGGCGGCGCCGCGCCGAGAAGGAGCGCCGCAAGCGCGAGAAGGAGCTGGCGGCCGCCAACGCGGGCCCCGTGCCCATCTTCCTGCCCGAGTACATCAGCGTCGCCAACCTGGCCGAGGCGCTGGGCGTGAAGCAGGCGGTCTTCCTCGCCCAGCTCGAGGAGCTCGGCTTCGAGGACGTTTCTGCGGAGAGCATCATGACGGGCGAGACGGCGGCGCTGGTGGCGCAGGAGTACGGGTTCGAGCCGACGGTCGACAGTGGTGAGACTGTTGACCTGAAACCGCGCCCGCCGCCGGAGGATCCGAGTTCGCTGCCGCCGAGGCCGCCGGTTGTTACTATTATGGGACATGTTGATCATGGCAAGACGACGCTGCTGGATTACCTGCGGAAGAGCTCGGTGGCTGCTAGTGAACATGGTGGTATAACGCAGCACATTGGCGCGTTTTCTGTTAAGTTGTCTGGTGGGAAGCAAATCACCTTCCTCGACACGCCCGGCCACGCGGCTTTCCTGACCATGCGGCAGAGGGGCGCGAACGTGACGGATGTAGTCATCTTGGTGGTGGCGGCGGATGATAGCGTCAAGCCGCAGACGATCGAGGCGCTGAAGCACGCCAGGGCGGCGAAGGTGCCGATTATTGTTGCGATTAACAAGGTCGACAAGGAGAGTGCGCGGATCGACCTTGTCAAGAGTGATCTGGCGAATAATGGCGTCGAGATTGAGGATTTTGGCGGCGATGTCCAGGTTGTCTGCGTCAGTGGCAAGACGGGACAGGGGATGGGCGATCTGGAGGAGAGTATCCTGTCCCTGTCCGAGATCCTGGATCTGCGCGCCGAGCAAGACGGGATGGCCGAGGGGTGGGTGCTCGAGTCGAGCGTCAAGTCCATAGGAAGGGCTGCGACGGTCCTCGTCAAGAGGGGCACGCTGAGGAAGGGGGATTATCTCGTTGCCGGCAAAGTTTTTGCCAAGATCAGAGTGCTCCGGAGCGAAGCTGGCGTCGAGATAGACGAGGCGCCGCCCGGGACGCCGGTCGAGATTCTGGGGTGGAGGGATCTCCCCGACGCCGGAGACCAGGTCCTGCAAGCGCCTGACGAGGACAAGGCGCGGAACGCGATCGAGTACCGCATCGAATTGAGTGAGAGAGGGGAAGCGGTCGCTCAGATGGCGCAGCAGGACGTCGACAAGCGCGAGAAAGAGCGCGAGAAGGCCGACAAGGCTGCTGCCGAGGAAGCGGAGGATGAAGAAGACGGCGAGGCCAAGGACGAGACGCCCGGAACGACAGTCGTCAATTTCCTGGTCAGGGGCGACGTGCACGGCTCGGTGGAGGCGGTGTGCGCTTCTATCATGGAAGTGGGCAACAACGAGGTCCGGCCGAGGATCCTGACATCGGCGGTGGGCAGTATCACCGAGTCGGACGTGGAATATGCGGCTCTCACGGGCAGCGCGATCATTAACTTTAACAATCCCGTGCCGGACCATATCAAGCGGCTGACTGATGAGTCGGGCGTGAAGATTATGGACCACAACGTCATTTACCATCTGGTTGATGCGATCAAGGACAACCTCTCGGAGAAGCTCAAGCCTACCGTCACGACGAGGGTGCTGGGTGAGGCGGAGGTGCTGCAGCTGTTCCCCATCAACATCAAGGGGCGCAAGTTCAAGAATATTGCCGGGTGCAGGATACGGAACGGGCAGATCACGCGAAATGCCAAGTACCGTGTCCTGCGGAAGGGGGTCAAGGTGTTTGAAGGTAAGACTTCTGCTTTTGTTCACTTTGTAGTGTAGACATGTTGCTGACGATGTGATTAGGAACCCTTGACTCTCTCAAGCACGGCAAGAAAGACGTATCCGAGATGCGCAAGGGAGCCGAGTGCGGCATCTCGTTCGAGGATTGGGACGAGCTGCAAGAGGGCGACCAGATCCAGGCCTTTGAGGAGATCAGCGAGAAGAGGCACTTGTAAGAGTCATGATGTGTATATGTGTATAATAGCATCGCCGTCCTGGGGTACAGGCATGGCACGGCGTTGCATATCGGGGAAGGATAGACTACAACATAGAGAGGTACTGTAATATTACACTACCTCTACTCCCATTCATATATGACTGCGTCCGCCTATCCTCTCCTCGGAGCCGACACCGACGATGACGAGAACGTCCTACTTGTCGTCGTGTATTTTGCCCTCTCCTTTTCCAGCTTTGCAAGCCCTATCCTGTCAGTGACAGGCGTCGCGTTGATGATGTCGTCAAACTCGGCATCATCCCCGGCGTCCGATCCGTTATCCGAGTCTGGCTCGACGTCCGAGTCCGGTTTAAGCTGCTGATGCGGCCGAGGTATTGTCTCTGCCGCTGTCTTTGGCTCTATCTTCTCCACTGTCGAGCCCTGGAACGGTTTCGACGCCAAGATCTTCCTCCTGATCTCTTCCATCTGTGCGTCATCTTCGCTGT